TAACAAGTGAGGCTATTGCTCTTACAGAGAAGAAAATGGACATGACTTTAGGTATTATTGTCAGCTACACATGCTTTACGCGTCTCTTTTGGTTTTCTTCCTTTTTTGCTGATAACCAGTTTGTGCTTGCAGATGATATCATCAAGATGTCCAGAACAAACACAACCAAGCCTAAGAAGCAAAGAGTTTCAGTAAGCACATCGCTCTCTGACCATTTAGTGTTCATTTCAGCTTTTGTCAGTTTGATATAAAACAGATTTTAATATTTATCATTTGCTTTCTGCAGAATAGAAGCCAAAAATATTCTAATAATGTAGCTCAGGATAAATCTGCTAAGATACAAAAGTTTATGGACACAAGATCATCTATGAGACAGGTACTCATCACAATTCTCTCAACCTATGAAGAATTTGATGGTTTCTTTTTCGTATTGGTGGATGCTGAATTATACTCCTTTGCTGATATTCTTATGCTTAGGGGGCTCTTGCTCGAAGAAGATCAAAATTTCAGGGAGACCAGTTCCCTTTGGCAACTGAGGCAGCCAAAAAGGCCGCAGTTGCTCCTATTCGCAATAGGCCTTTCAATCGGAGCCGAGCAGTGACTGTAAATAAACAGAGGTGTGTTTAAACTGTGAACTGTGAAGTTAATATATGATTAAGCTAGTCGGTCATTAGTATCCTGGTTTGCTGCGCATGTCAAATTCTGAGTAATTTAACTCTCATTTGATGCAGGTAAATTGTGGTCCTATTTATTGTTGATGAATTTGCCAGGTGTCTCTCCTTTATGCACTTTAAAAGCTTGCTGATAGTTTGGTCGGGTGATGTTCAAGCTACAATCCTTGGAAGTTATATACTCTAAACCATGCTGTTAGTTTGGTTGGGGTGTCGTTCACGCTACAATATTTGGATGTTTGTTCAAGTGTCAAATGATGATTATTTTCCATCAGAACATTGCATCTAAAATAAAATGTGTCAGTGGACTTAAGTTTGTTCTGCATGTTTTGAGTTTGAGTCCTACTCTTTTAAGTTGGTATTGGACACCCGAGACTTGGGAAATTTTAAGGTGGATTAAAGTGCATCTGTGAGAGCTGGCATAGAGAAAAGAATGTGTTACAATATATTGTTTTACCTAGCTGCAATATTGCCCTTGGAGTATGAGATGGATGAGATCTTCCCCGTAATGGCAATAAGTGTATATTTTCTGGAGGTTTGTTTGGTAGCACTAGCATCATGGGGTATACTATGTCTCGTAAGTTTGTGGTTTTGGAATGGTTGCTTTCATATGAACAGACACCCTTAGAGAAGCTTGTCCCAAAATAACTCATTAGTTCTTTGAAAGTTGATCATCATTGATTCCCTTTTGAGTCACATTGAAGTATGTCCTGGTGAAAGCTTCTGTTCGAAGTAACTCAACTATTTGACATGTAATTGTCTTTGAATTTCCTCTGGGATATGGATGATCAATTCTTTCTGATTTTATTTCCTCTGCCCAACTTCCAAAATTGTTGTTGATAAGAAGTTCGGAAAGGCATGGAGCATGACACATGGCATTCATCTGCTTCCTTTCAGCAATGAACTTGCGAGGCTGCTGTGCATTTTTAGTTTTGCCGTCTACCACCTTAAACAATGTTACTTATATTGTTCTATGGTTGGCATGGTACCATTCATTTTGAAATGGTTGTTCCGGGACATGCAAGTGGTGATACTTCTCTTTCCAGGGGTTTGTATCCAACTGTGTGCCATAATCTAGACTTACCGGGGTTAACACTCCGGAAATTAAAAATGCCAAAATAGGTACAAGGACGGATATTGTTAGAAATGCCTTATGTAATAGAGTTGATCCATTTAAGTCTTGAGCAGCGGTGTAGGGTCAGATCCCAAAGATAGTAAGTATTTTCTTTCTTATGAAAGAAAGTCTTCTTCAGCAACCAGAAGAAGGAAAAGAATTGAATAGAGGAACTCCCGAGCATTTTGCACTGTTTTGGAGGATAGATATTGCATGTTCTGCATATTAGGTTGTTTTACCAAAAGTTTTTAGGTTTGTGGGTTGTGCGAGGGGCTCCAAGTTTCGCAGTTGGGCTTTGCGAAGTTCGAAACTTTTACTTGCAATTCTATTGAAGCAATTCTGGAATCTTGGTGAAGCTTTACTTTTTGCTGAAGTTAGAAGTACTCTTGGATATTTGACTGATGATGAGATCCCAAGGATGTTATTTCTCCCATATCAATGTTCTGATAGTTCTACTTTGGACTTTGTTTCCTTCTGGTGGAAGATGAGCTTATGAAGTTCTGTTTCTGGGTGCCGCTTTTGTTTCTAAGGTTTGGCTAGTTGAGAACTTTTAATTAGCAGACTGATGGTAAGTTGGAAATATACACGAACTTGCTTATAGTGCTCTGCCATCGCACATAGATCCTGCAACTTGGGGCTGCTCACTCTTTTAATAAGAGATCTTTGGATAAGCACTTCTCCTTACAGTTGCTCCAATTCTTTTTTTCCTTTTGCAGGTTCGGGGCTCCTTCGGTTCAGAGGGGTGCTGCAAATGGTGGCCGGTTTATTATTAAGGTAATTGAGGGTCAAACTAGAATTGATATAGCTGTTCTAAAACTTATAAAGGTCCTCGCTTTTCTGTTATTCCCACATTGAAATTTGAAAGCTTGGATTTGAGTCCAACTCCGCAAGGACCATATCACTGGAGGTGTCTCCATTTTTTGATAGTCTGATTTGTCACTTTTTAGAAGCATTGCCTTCTTGCTGCTGTCGGTTCTGTAGATCAGCTTGTATGCATCTTCTAAGGTTTGAAGAAATGTAACAGTTTGTGTTGTGTGTGTAGCAACAAAGGCAGGAGGTCAAGCCAGTGTCAAAGCAGAGGCCTCAGACATTGGATTCTCTATTTGCAAATATGAAGGAACAAAGGATGAAGATGCAATCCCAGCAGAATAACGCTCCAAGGAGAAATGGAGGCGGGCAGCAAATTGTGCCATGGGCTAGAGGTTGTTTTGGGAAGTGATGACAGATCATGTGCAGCTGATTCCATGTGCTATGGGCTAGATGTTGTTTTGGGAAGTGATACAGGTTACTGTGCAGCTAATGCTGTGTGCTGTTGCAGATTAGTCCTTTAGGTCCGTGTTGTGAAGTGATAGCAGAGCTCTCTGCACCTGATCATTGTGGTTCTTTTTGTGTCCTTAGCAGCCTTAGAATGTTATCTTTTCTTGAGGAACGGCGAAAACTGTTTGCAGATGCGCTTTATAACTATCCATATAAAAAACTTTGTATAGCATTTCTGGGTTTTCGTTCGATTCTTAAGTTTCTTTATGTTTGATTCGTAAGTCTTATAGCTTTGTATTGTTTGGTAGGAAGCATATATGATAACAGTTGTCCCGAACCACGGACAAGGCATTGCTTGTTTCTTTTTGGCACTATGCCTTTGTCTTTAAATAGGTTGAATCCAACAGATGTTTGAATCTGAATCATTGAGATCTCAACTTAATTAAATGGACTTCTTTCTTTCATAAGTATTTATCTTTAAATAGGAATGAATCAAAAATCAAATCTTGTATAGACTTCTACTTTCAGAGAATGTATTTTCGCCACCATTCTATTTATTATCATTGCCTGCTACCATTACTGTTACTCCAGCCGTTTACTGTTACTCCAGCCGCCACTACTACATCCAACTATTTTCACCACTAGCCATCTCCACAACTTTGTCACATTTACCAACTGCTTCCACCAGTAGTCACTATCACCATCATTGCCAACTGCTACAATTCGAGTCCGGAACCAAAATGTGGATCCTTTTGACTCAAACTACACAAATAGGTGGTAAAAAAAAATGTGACTTTTTTTATATATAACGCCACAGTTCCTGGCGCTATATATTAACGGTAACATCACCATTAAGTATAGCGCCAGGTATTGTGGCGTTATACTGTAAAAGCTGACACAGCTCAGGTATAGCGCCATAATACCTGGCGCTATACCCCTTATTAAAATTCATCCGTCTCCTTCACCGTGCCCAGTCGGTGCCCCTCCTCCATTATTTTACTCTCCCCTCTTCTTGGTCCCCCCATTACCCGCTGCTGCCCTCGTTTTTAAAAAAAAAAACAAAAAAATTTTGGGTCCCCCCGGCACATAAAAGTTGAAGCACGTAGGTCCCACATCTGTATAGAGCTTCGTGGTATTGTTGATTCATACTTTCGAAGTCAAAATTTCGATCTATTTACTTTCTGAAAATCTAAATCGAGGCATTTCGATTTATTTTAAGTTGAAACTTTTATAATAATGCATATTACTTGATTTGTATGTGTTCTATTTCGGTTTGTATTTTTTTTCCGAAACTAGCATGTTAAATTTATCCGGATTTAATTTTATTGTTTTATAAAAAAAATATAAATTTGTCAAATAAATTTGTCTGTTAATATCCTCATTTATATATATGTGTTTTCATGCCATTTTGTGTTTTATTTGCAATTAAATTTATTTATTTTTTTATATTTAGTTAGATTATTTTTTAGCGTAGTAAAATCTAGACCTTTTTAGCGTAGTAAAACGTATACCCTTTTAGCGTAGTAAAATTTAGAGCCTTGTAGCGTAGAAATGTGTAGTATTTTAGCTGAGAATTCCGTTTGTTTAAGTATCTTATATTGGTAGTTGAAAATGCAAACTTTGTACAATTAAGTTAATAATTGTATCCACACACATAATTAGTAATTTGTACAATTAAATTATTAAAAAATATGAATTTAAATTATAAAAAAGCACATAATTATTAATGATAGTTTGGTGCCACATGGTCTCAAAATATCGAGCCCGAAACCCATAGGTATATATATATAATTTATACAGTTAAGTTATTAAAAAATATGAATTTAAATTTATAAAAAAAATACATAATTATTAATGATAGTTTGGTGCCACTGGGCCTCAAAAAAAAAAAAAATATATATATGTATATAATTTTTACAATTAAGTTATTAAAAAAATATGAATTTATAGTTGACAACATGGATGCGCCTATACATCCCGGCCCTCGGACGTTGGATCTATTAGCCCTACAGCCCCAGCATAGATCCGAGTATATATGGGACGGACAGTTGCTTACGCAGACTTTCCGGGCCAGGAGAGTGGATCTATTGTGGGAGTTTTTGAGTCCTCCTCACGTTCTACATCCCCATGTGGTCCATTACCTGGAGGAGATAGGCCTATATTGGATTATTAGCATTGGCTGGATACAGCTCGACTATGCTTTGATGACGGCCCTGATTGAGCGGTGGCGACCAGAGACGCACACTTTCCATTTGCCCATCGGCGAGGCCACCATCACACTCCAGGACGCTGAGATTTTATATGGCCTATCCGCTGATGGCTTGCCAGTTTTACTGTCTGCGGCGATGAGATATTATTCGCGGCAGGCATATTGGGATATGTTGCACATGCTCATGGGTTTCATGCCGGCGGGCGAGGAGGTAGCGTTTGGGGCTAGTCGTATACAGTTAGTCCCCATTAGAGACCACCTGGTGCAGATCCACGATACTATCACCGATGAGTCAGCGGACGTGGATGTGCAGCAATATACGAGGCTGCTGTTGCTCCTTCTATTTGGGGGGGTCTTGTTCCCGAACACTTCGGGGAACCTACTGAGCCTCCATTTTCTGCATCATATTACCCGGTTCGAGGATACAGCTGGGGTGGTGCTGTCATATCATATTTGTACAGGCAGATGTGTCGGGTTTGCATCGGCACACAGAGAGACGTTTGTGGCTTTCTGCCGCTTCTACAGGTGACAACTTATTCAAATATGTCCATTAGTTACAATTCCACCTAGTTATAGTTAATCTTATACTTACGTCAACTTTATCTGTTAGATTTGGGTCTGGGAGCGAATTCTACAGTTTCGGCCACCTCTACCACAGCTACCGACTAACGTAGAAATTCCGCATCTCCCTCTAGCACATAGGTGGGTTATGCGTCGTAGACTTGCACGAGAGTATGATGCCCATCATAATCTCCCCCTCTGCAGGGATGTGTTGGATTTGCTGGAGGACGCACAGGTGAATATCTAACTAAACTACCAGTTATTGTTTAACTTAGTGTCGCGCGTACTAACGGTTTGTGTTCTTATTTGATAGTTCATCTGAACGCCGTACAGCGATGAGGTGATAGGTACCCTGCCAGCGTATTGCACGTTTGGCCGACATATTTGGAGGGCTTCTGTCCCGCTCACATGCCTCGATATTGTCGAGCATCATGCCTCAGAGCGGGTATTTCGTCAGTTTGGCCTGCCGCAGCCTATACCGACTCCGCCTGCATGGCATGCTTTACATTATGAGAGGGATGATCGGTCCAGGGCGGACGACACATTTATGGCATGGCTTAACGCGCAGTTGGGTATTTGGGACAGGCGAGGGGAATTGACCCCACCTCCGCAGCACTTTCCTATTGAACGTTATATGGCATGGTACCGCACTGTTTCCCGACTTTTTATCGGGAACCCAGTTCATCGGGCACACGGTCGGTGCGTCCCATACGCCGGGAGACACGAGGCCCTGGTATGTTTTCTGTTATTATTAATTATATACCTATAATTTAGTGCCAAATACGTAGTTTATATTTATTACTTTATGCAGGCGATTGGATTGCATACCGTCTATCGTATGGGGCAGCAGATGCAGAGTTATGTCCACGATCCTGTGGTCATGGAGGAGTATAGTCGTCGATTCATGGATGTGGCTGCCCAGACACTGCAGCGAGCACGATCGGATCAGCGTTTGGCACACGAGGCTGATTATATTGACCCAACCACGTACCAGCGAGGTCGTGGTATTCCACGAGCTGGTGGTGCCCGACGAGCTGGTGGTGCCCGACGAGCTGGTCGTGGGCGAAGAGGAGGTGGTCCCCAGCAAGGGGGCTTTGAGGCTCCTGCTGATGATGTTGCTGCTGATATGGCAGGTGGTCCCCAGCAAGGGGGCTTTGAGGCTCCTGCTGATGATGTTGCTGCTGATATGGCAGGTGGCATGCATGAGACGGACATGCCGTCTTACAGCCTTGGAATTTATCGCACTCCAGTGCCATCGCAGGTGACCCCATCGGGTCAATTATTGATTACAGGCTCGGATATTCAAGGAGTGGATTGGGGTAGATACTTCCCAGGCCCGTCTACCACTAATGGCGATCGACTGACCCGAGATTTTTATAGTGGGCGCCGACTGAGTTACGACTCCACATCACATGCGCAGGTATGATTTTATTAGTATTGAATTTGAATTTCCAGAACTGTAACTTATTTATTTTCTTTAACTTTATTAATTTCCTTTGTAAGGCTTCATGTGATGCTGCGACATATGACTACATTCAGGATCCAGACACGATGATGGTAAGACAACATAAATTGTTGTGAATTGTTATGTAGTTTTCTATACTAAGTTTCATATTATTAGGTAGGCCTCTACTGGACCTGACAGCACCACCGATACATGTCATCCTGCGCCGCATCCGGTTATAAAGAGACGACTTGATGATGATGATCCTGATAGCGTACCCGGGCGGGAGGGGATGCGCCTCAGGCCAGCGGCTGCATTGAGACACACCGGATGCGGGACACATTGATTCGGCCTTCCTTTCTATTTTTATTTGGTGTAAATAATATTTTTGTATACACTAACAACAATATTTAATCGAATATGCCCATTACTTTTTTTGGTTCTCCATTCGTTTGATAGTGTCATATAACAACACAAGCACTTAAACTTAACTTCCACTTCAACTAAAATAAAATTTACTACACCAAACAAGGAAAACATTACAACAACACAAACACAAACATAGCAGGCCAACATAATGAAAATACATGAAATATGAAAAATACACTAAACACATACATGCCAATGCTTAGCCCCGGTTGCCATTTATTCTCCGCTCCAACCACTTAAATCGTTCTGCCAGTTGTTCTTTTTCTTCTTCTACCTCTTTCAGTTTCGCCTTCACCTCCGCAAGTTCCCGTTTATATTTTTTTTTTACGATCCTTTTGTTCTTGACAATTCCATTGTGCTTTTCATTTTTCTTCTCCCACCTCCTTCAGTTTCGCCGTCATGTCTGCAATAATTCTATCGCTTTCTCTTTGTGTTACCAGTTGGCGTGAACACATATTATGAAGAAATTGCAGTTGTTCTCTGTAGCATTCCTGATAACATGGTTCATCAACCCATTCCTCAAATTCACATATAGGTTCGCCGGGAACCTTGTAAAACTGGTTCATACAGTGCCAGTAGCGGCGTCCAACTTCACCACCGTCCCAACAATTTTGCATCATGCATGCTTTTCCACAGTAGCACTTTGGTGGACGAAGAGGTTGAGCCATTTAATGAAATATTTGCTTTTGAAAAAAAAAACTTACTTTTAATGAAATATTTGCTTTAAGTAATTTTTGAGTACACAAAATAACTACAATGAGCCCGTTATTTATAGGCGAGACAACACACACATAACGCCATGTATAAGAGTCCGGAACCAAAATGTGGTTCCTTTTGACTCAAACAACACAAATAGGTGTTAAAAAAAGTTACTTTTTTTATGTATAACGCCACAATAACTGGCGCTATATATTAACAGTAACTGGACCATTAAGTATAGCGCCAGGTATTGTGGCGTTATACTGCAAAAGCTGGCACAGCTCAGGTATAGCGCCATAATACCTGGCGCTATACTCTTTTTTCCTAGCCCCACCAATAATTTATGAGTTAAATAATTGAAAAGCGTATAGTGCCACCTAGTTTGGCGCTATATATATAAAAAAAAAGAACTTCCCGGCTAGCCATTTCCTATATATAGAGGTTAGAATCATATAGAAATTCATTCAAATTTTTTTTAACTCTTGTTGAAACGTCTATTGTTTTTAAATTCTCCAGCAATTTTTCATTATGTCTGAAGAGCGTAGGATAAGAGTTTCATTATATTGGGGGGGTGAGGTTGTGATGGAGAATAACTCTGTGGGCTACAGTTTACCTGCTAAGTGTCATGTTAAATTGCCACTTACAATGGAGTACGATACATTGATATCGTTGTTATGCAAAAAAATGAGTGTGAGGAAACGTTCAGTGATACTTAAAGTAACCGGTGGATATCCGTATTCCGTCACTCCGCAAGGGGTTGCTTTTTACTTGGAGTTTAACATCGACGATGATGAAACTTTGAGTGATTTTCTGAGGACTTCAGACGAATGTCGGGAATTTCTTGTAATCACAATGTTGGAGATGTACGTGAAGGCCGAAGACGTTCCAAAAAACGAGGTTGTGCATAGTAGAGATAACCCCCAGTCATCGGGTGGTTATTCTGGAACAGTTTTTTCCGGACAGGTTCTGGATGAAAGAGTTTTCTTTGATTTAAACTTATCACCGCCGGTGAATGAGCAACGAGAAAATAATTTATACATTGCTTTCCATAACTTACAAGACGAGCGGTAAACTTCAATTTTCATTTGTGTTAATTATGTATTTTTTTTGTATTGAATTTGTATTAATGCTCATATATTTAATAGGGGGTACCGGCCGGATATGAATTTTACAAGTGGCCCATCCGGTAGTCATCACCTAATTGAAAACGTCCATCATGGAATTTCATCACATTACGACTTGTAAGTGAAGTGATATAGCCATATGAAAATCATTTATTAATTTAGTAGCTTATATTTTTGTTGGTTGTGCAGTGAAAACGAGCAAGTTGAACTCACTCAATTGCCCGAAAATGATGTATTACATCGGGATCTGGCAGATGCACAGAGTGAGGAACAAAACAATGATTACGATAACAATGCGGATGAATCCGGAGACGAGACACCCTTTCCTCGTGAGGATGGTGATGCAGAGGATGAGGAGGAAGGACCTGATTTGAAGAGAGACCCCCTTAGACGAAGAGTGTTTGAGTCCGAAGTGCCGTTTCATTCAAGAGAGATTCCTTACATTGATAACTTGCCAACCGTGCAGGATGTGGAAGCTCTCACAAGGGATTTTGATGAAATCCGGACAGCAATATGGGATGAGTCTAGACCAACGGTGCTTGCAAGGGGGATGCTTTTTCCTGATAAAGCGCGCCTAAGCAGGGCTTGTAAAATGCACAACGTAAAAGATTGTCATGAGATGCAGGTATGGGAGTCAAGTCCGACGGTATACAAGGTTGTTTGTCGCAGGTGGTTTTGGCCATGTAATTGGATGTTGCGTGCGACCGAGAAGAAGACAGGTATGTGGAAAGTGGGTAAATACATTCCCACCACACATGCGAAATGGACACATTCAACGGTAATCACTTCAACTTGGATATTGACTTGATTTCTCTTGTTCTTATTCCACACATCGAACAGTCCATAAGGTATAAAATCAAAGAGTGCATTACAGCAATCCACCAGGAACATGGACATACCATTACTAAAAGAAAGGCATTTCTCGGGCGCAAACGAGCGTTTGAAATAGTCTATGGTAACTGGGATAAGTCATTTGCAGATCTGCCTAGGTACATGGCTACACTGCAGCATTTTAACCCCGGGACGGTTGTTGAGTGGAAGCTTGAGCGGAGTGCAGGTAAACCAGAATATATATTCAACTACGTGTTCTGGGCGTTTAAACCAGCTATTGATGGTTTTTCGCATTGTCGCCCCGTAGTATCTATAGACGGCACTAATGTCTATGGAAAGTACGATATCAAGCTGTTAATAGCCGTGGCAGTAGATGCTAATGGACAGATATTTCCTCTAGCTTTTGCTATTTGTGCCAATGAAAGCCAAGAGACGTGGACGCTGTTTTTGAACCATATGAAAGAGCACGTTGTCAAACAGCGTTCCGGTATTGGTCTAATATCTGATCGGCACGGTGGTATCTTAAGTTCTGTGGAGAACTTGCCTGCATGGCAAGAACCTTATGCCTACCATCGTTACTGTGTTAGGCACCTTAAAGCCAATTTCCAGAAGGCATATCCCAATAAGGATCTGCATGATTTGATGTGGATGGCAGCAACAGACCACCAACAACATAAATTTCGGAGGCACATGGAATATATCAGGCAAGAAGACGAGGCAGCCTATCGTTGGTTAATGCGACATGACCCTGAAAAGTGGACTTTGCATGCGGATGGTGGCAGACGATGGGGAACTCTGACTACAAATGTGTC